ATTTGATTTAGATAAATTATCTTTGGTTTAAATAAAACATGTGAAATGAGGGTGAAAATTGATTAAATTAATTAAATCAATTTGATTTATAAATTATTTTATGTATTGTTCCCTTTATGGAAAAATAAATAAAAAAATTATTCCAGATCATAAAACTGAGGAGAAATTTTAAATCAAAACTGGGTCAAATATTTGCTCTGGTAAAATTATTCAAGGTTTTTAAATAAATTATAACAATAAATGATTATAAATAGTTAATCAAATAAAAAAATACTTTCTTTTTTTTTAGTGTGGTAAATTCGTTTCCTTTTTTCAAAATATAATTGCTTGTTATAAATGAAATTTATCGGAAAGGAAAAATTGGTTTCGTGATTCGTAATACACTTTTTGTTGAGTTCTTCCCATTAAATTTATATAGAACACACATAATAGGGGTTTTAGGAAAGTTACACAATTGAATTCGATACACAATAGAACTTTCCTGAATGTTGCTACATGAATTTCGAATTAAACTTTAATTACACTAGTTTTTAATGATTATTTAATTAATCATTATTTAATTTTTTATTATTTAATTATTAATTATTTAATTGTCAATTTTTCTGAAAAGTATATTTTTACTTTGATATATTGAAATCCTTTCCACTTGAATACTTTTTTTATTCTGAATGTCTTTTTCTCTCTTTCTCTTTTTTTCCTTCTTTCTTCTCTCTTTAAACATAAATTTATTTCAAGATCCTAGTAAAGCAATATTTCAAAATTAAATATCGAAATGAATAAAGTTGCACAAGGGATATTTTTCTTTTTTATGTTCTCAATATATTCGCAAGTAGAACTATTTTTTAAGAAGAAACAAATCCAATGGGGGAAAAAAATTCATTAAACGACAGTGAGTCGTTGCACTTGACAGATTTCTTTGCAATTAGTCATTCCGCGCATTTCTTTAACTCGAAAGATAGGAAAACTATTTAATTTTATCTTTTGAACTTTTAAAAGTCGGATTCTATTTTTTTTTTTTTTTTTGCGAAAAAAAGGAGATAGAGAGGAGACGAAGGCCAAAATAGCAAAATCGTATATATATATATATTTCAGTTGTTCATTATTTTCTTCTTTTGAATTTCTGGATTTCATTTCCGTTTCTGATTTAGTAGGTACTGAAGTTGTAAAACTTCATTTAACGTGACAATACTTGAATGAGAAATAACTTGAGTTTGAAGTTGTAGACTCGTAAAAGAATTTTTCATGCAAGAATTTATTCTCTGAATAATTTAAAAAACTTTTTCTCAATTTCAAGACTCTTGTAATCAAAAAAACTTTTACCTTCTTTTGAATTTCGATTTTATAGAGGATCTTTCAATATTATGTGCGTAATATAAGATTCATAAGTATATTCTTGAGATGAAAACATTCTTTTCTTTTTTCATTTAAAATAAAGAAAATTTCCAGTGAATAACAATTTTCTTGTTTAAAAAAAGAAAATTTTCATTGAAAAAAGATTTGTTTATCGAAAGGAGTTATTTTTTATTAAAAAACATTTTTTTTTTCTAAAACGAGGAAGATTTCCATTTAAAAAATCAGTTTTTTCATTAAAAGAAAGAAATTTTACATTTGAAAACAATTTTTTTCATTGTAGAAAAAAATTTTTCAAGGCACACCAATTTTTTTTATTAAAAATAAGAAATTTTTCATTTAATAAAAGCAATTTTTTTTCTTAAAAAAGTAATTTTTTATTGAAAAACAATTCTTTTCTTTAGGAAAAGAAATTTTTCAGTGCAAGATTAATTTTTTTCTTTCAAAGAAGAAAATTTTTCTTGAAAAAAAAATGGTTTTTTCATTAAAAAAAATAAATTTTTCATTGGGAATAGTTTGTCTATTGAAAAAGTAAATTTTTATTAAAAAGTAGTTTTTTTTCCTTAAAAAAATTTTTTTTTCGTGAAATAATTTTTTCCTTTAAAAGAAAGAAATTCTTCAATAAAAAACTGTTTTTTTTTATTAAAAAAAGAAATTTTTCAATTGAAAAGCAATTTTTTTTCTGAAAATAAAATTCTTTTCTTTAGGAAAAAAAATTTGCAGTAAAAGAATAATTATTTTTTAAAAGAAGAGAATTTTTCTTGTAAAAAATTGTTCTTTTCATTAGAAAAGGAAATTTTTCATTTGAAATACTTTCTTTATTGAAAAAAGTAAATTTTGATTAATTTTAGTGAAATACTAATTTTTTTCTTTAAAAGAAAAAAATCTTTCCTTGATTTCGTTGACATTTTTTTTCCATTGAAAAACAGAAATTTTTTTAGTGAAAAAATAATATTTTTTGTTAAAAAAATAAATTTTTCATTAGAAAAATACCTAATATTTTTTTGTTAAAAAAAGAAATTTGTCACTTTAGAAAAGGTTTATTTATTAAATGAAGTAATTTTTACTGAAAAACAATTTTTCTTCTTTGAAAAAAGACATTTTTTTGTGAATAAATAATTTTTTTCTTTAAAGTAAAGAAATTTTTCTTTGGAAAAAAATTCTTTTCATTACAAAAAAAATTTATTTATTGGAGAACAACTTTTTTTATTAAAGAAATAAATTTTTCAGTGAAAAGAAATATTTTATTCAAAACATTTTCTTTTTTTTAAAAAAGAACTGAAATTTTCCAGTGAAAGACAATTGTTTTTATTAAAAAAGAAATGTGTCAATGATAACAAATTTTTGTCACACTAAAATCATTTTTTTCTTAATAAAACAATTTCATTAAAAAATAATTTTTTTTAAGAAAGAAATTTTTCATTAAGAAAATTTTTTTTTTATTAAGAAACAATTTTTTTTTTATTAAAAAAATAACAAGTGGTTGAATTTAACATTTTGCCTTCCCATTTTTTAACCATGAAAAAAAGAAAAAAAAAAAATTTTGTGTAAATGAATCGGCATTGTTATAAAGAGTCTTTATTTTGAGTTAAAAAGGAAACCTAACAAGTTTCTTTCATTAGAACATTTTGTGCTTGAAGCACGTATTGAGTCTGTAGAAAAATCTTTTTCTTTATTATTATATATATATATATATATATGTCTCGAAGACAATCACTTTAAGAAAAGGTTTTTCAAGTTGGAATCAGTCCAGAGAAGAACCTAACGTGATGAAACATTTTGTTGGCACTATTGATCAAGGGCTTCTTTTCTCAACATCCATAGAATTCCGAGTATGGACCGAAGAAAGTCATTTAACTTCGTGTTTTCTTTCTCTCTCTTTCTTTTTTCCATTTCTTTTCTCTCTTTTTTGAAAAACACCTCTAATCTAATTCATTTGAAATTGAATTGAATTCAATCAAACTCGATGTGAATTTATTTAAAATCATTGAATTTGATTAAACTTGGAATTAGTTGAAATTGAATTTTATTTTCAATTTTATTCATTTTAAATTGAATTAATTCAAAGTGAATTAATTTAAAGGTATAATTAATTTTGAATTTTGATTTTAATTAAATTAATTCGAATATTAAATTGAAACTAAATTCACAATATTGAACTTATTTTAATTTTAATTGAAATTAAATTCACAAAATTTAAATTTAAATTAATTCACAAAAATTGAATTTATTTGAATTTGAATTGAAATTAAATTTATTTTTTTTTGAGGTAAAAAAAAAAAAAATTGTAAAAATTGTAAAATTGTCCTAAAAAATTGTTTAAATTAAATTTATTTTAATTTACTTTTTTACTTGAAATAAATTGAATTCATTTAGAACAAAATTGTAATTTTTTTGGTTTTTGAATGAATTAAAAATTTAATTCAAATCATTTTTTTTTCCAAAGAAAATGGGAAATATCGTATTTTGTATTTTTTTCCCCCTTCTTTTTATATATAGAAATACGAAGCGATCTTTAATAAAGGAAAATAATGAGCGCTTAGTAACATGTGGTGGAGCTCATAAACATAATGACACCGCGGAATATTACTACATGGGGGAAACCTTTTGTTAAAGTTTATTAACAATTTTGCATTCAGTATTAAAGTTTTTGAATTGAAATTGTTCTCTTAGATATAATTTAATGGTCGATTTAAATTTGTAAACAGAAATTACGGTATAAATCCTAGGTGCTTATGAAAATTTAAATTGAACTTTTGGGAAATTTTCCACGTGTTAGAACGTGTATTTTGAGATTTAATCACTTCCAGTTAAAAATTAATAGCTATTAATTATACGAGAAATATTAAAATTTTTTTTTCAGTCTTAATTTTTTTTCTTCTGAATTTAAATTTACTCAATTTTTTTTTTTATGAATAGAGGATCTTTGGTATTTTTCTTATCTCTGGAATTTTTTTTATTATCACACCTTTTATAGAATTTTCTTCACTTTCTCAATTTTTTTTTCTTCCTTTTTGAATTATCGTGGATATTTCTGGTATTTTTAGATTTTATTTCTCATTTATGCGCCATAAAGCTGAAATGAATTTAAAGCATATTGTCTTTTACTATTCATGGGTTGGATTTTTGTTGGAGGAGAATTTAATTTGATTATTGAGTAAATAATATTATAATTTGTGTATTTAATTTTTAATATTAATGTTTCTGAAATTTTGAAAGTTCAAATAAACGAAAATTTTTCATTGTTTTTTCTTAATTTGTATTTTATTAGAAAAAATTATTTTTGTAGATTAAACAAATTCTTAACTAAGAAAATGTTTAATTTGCATTATTTTTCCTGCATAAAAATTATTTACTGGATAATTCTTTGAGTATGGAATCATTTTTAAAGTATGAATCTGAATATCAGGGAAAAAGTTAAAAATTAAAATTTTTATTTCAGTATAAAAAGAATTTATTTGATTAAAATAACCGATTACTTGATTATTATCAATTAAATATTTAATTGAATCAAATAATATTTTTTTGAGTTAATTAAATGATATTTAAATCAATAATTTCAGTATTTGAAACAAATACCATTTAATTAACTCCAATAAATATTATTTGATTCAAGTAAATATTTAATTGATAAGAGTCAACGAAGGTGAAGTTTGCAACGTTTATCATCAACGAATTAAAAAAAAACCTATAGTCAATTAATCGGTTATTTGAATCAAATAAATTTTATTTTTTCAGTGTATAGATATCGATCGGGATGTAAATTATCGAAAAGAAAAAAGAGTCAATGATAAATATTACTTAAGTCAGAGATAAAGCATCCAAACCAAAACCATGTTTTATGCTTTGCAATATAGATGAAATCTCATTCTATTTCATTTTTCATCGTAAATTCGTGAAATATTGCTGTGTTAGGGTACTAAACATTTCTGATTTAAGTCTTTTGGTTCGGGTCATAAATTTGTACCTATAGTTGAGTAACTTTTTCTTGCCTTGGTATTACCGCAGTTAAAAAAGAAATGAGGTTTGATGAAAAGATACGAGGAAAGAAGAAAAAGAAATTTCATTGTTTTTGGATTTTAAAAGAAGTCAAAAAATATTGGATCATTTCTGGCCATTTTAATTCTCAAACTATATAGTTTATTTAATAGTTTATTCTTTTTGAGAATATACTGATGTTTAAAAATTCTTAAACTCTTAAAAATTTAATTTCTTATATTAGAATTTTTCCATAGTACAATTTTAGCAAAAAGAAAAAAAAACCCAGAAATGATATAAAATCTCGAGAATTCGTAGAAATTTGATAGAGAAATAAATATTTAAAGCTCATAGACGTCACGTCCATTGGGTCTATTGGCAATAGTGGGACGGCAGTAGGACGCTGGACTGGTTGCATAGGAATGAATAATGTGTACTCGTAATTTAACATCGCCAGAACGTGATACTTCGCCTCGTGTTCTTCGCGAGAAGCTCACTGTCGTTTTAAAGCAGCAATAGTGAAAAAGTTTCACGTAAGCATTACGAAAGTGACGATCGACGACGCAATAAAGTAAATTATTAACGCACGATTTTGATAGGGCAAACCATGCGAGATTAATGAAGACACGAGCTTTAACAGGACGGACGGAACTAACCCAAAGTGCAACGCCCAATGGCATCCAGAATATTGCGAAGAGAAAAAAACTGTAGATATTTGTTTTAGTGAGTTCATAGTCCCATGAGAAGGCGACCGGTGGTTTATATGAGCCACGTGTCGCTCGACGAACTCGTGTCACTAGCATTAGATAGACTAGAATTGTTAGGAGAACTGGAAGGCCCACCAGAATACTGGCACCGACAGCCTGCTCCATTGCAATGCCATTAAAGCGTCTATTGCAGAAGTCCGGTCCAAGATCAAATGATGATTGAAGACCTATTGCCGTTGCTGCCACTGCCCAGACGAGGAGGATTGAACTTGTTACACGTCCCGGTGTCAGTATCGCGTACCTGCGAACAAATTGTTTCGAATTAATTGTCACCGATTAGCCACAGATTTTTGCTCCTCTAAACTTTTCAACCCTCAAATGAACGCTGATCCTCTTCACAGGAATTCAATTATTTTTATAAATAGTACATTTTTTAAAGGAATTCAATTATCAGGGTTGCTACAAGTCAGGGAAGTAGCCAAATTAGTTAATTAAATTAATAAATAATAATAATAGTAATAGTATAAATGTCACACTATCAAAAAGTTGTACTAACCAAAAATACCAAATACTCAAAATTAATACAGTAATTCTGAAGGAAAACAAAAATTTTATCTTAATGCTTAAACATTAAAATCAACATTCGTTCACGTATGATTGGAATATGATACGACTAGAAATCCTCCGAGGCATTTAGAATCCAGATTTATATTATCCTACTGTCACTACGAATGCCGAGAATTTAGTATTCTCTATCATCATACAAACCAATAAATTCTTCATTACGAATTCCAAAGATCAAATTCCGACCTTCCAATCACTTATTAGATCCATATTTCTCTTCGTAAATTCCTAATTACAATACAAGTAAATTGAATGCAACACAAAATAAATTATCTTTTATGGAAAAGTTTTCAACTCCCTTAAGAAAAGAGGTGAAATTATTAATATTTTCTTCTCGGTAAAATCTCAAGTAATAATTTTCGTCTCTAAAACTTCAGGGACATGAATTTCTTACAATGGGGCAATCATCAATTGTGGATTACACTGTCCTTGCTAAATTGAGATAAATAATTTAAACTTTGAGTGGCGTGTCGAAAGGTTCATTACTTAACCTCCATAAATTGGAACTTGAATTAGAATTATAGTATATAGTCACTAATTGAAGTTATATATTGAAGATAATGTTTCTAGTCACAGAAACTTTGTTCTAGCAAGCACAGACAAACAATGTCCCCCTGAATTTAGCGTCGAAAACCCATTTGGAATTTTTAGAGATGAAAATGTTAATTATTAGAGAATAAAAAGACAAAACTGCAACTAATTTTAGTTTTCCTTCGCCTACAATTCCAAAACTATTCATTCAACTCTGTTAGAAAATAAAATCTTTGATCCTTTATTTTGGTTTCAAAGAAAAAAAATTCAGCGTCGAAACTTGCCCAAAAAAAAAAAATAATAACTCCTGACAAAAATTGTAATACATGATTGTGATACAGATACATGATAAAAATAGAAAATCTGCAAAATAGAGCAGGAAAAAAATGAAACAGGAAATATCGATCAAAAACAGAAATGAAGCCAAATTAGATAATGAAATAATGAAAGGAAACCTTTTATATCCCATTTGGATCTTCTCTAAAAGTACCTATTTTTGATGGTGAATGCAGTATAACGATCTCATTAGCGATAAACTAAAAATTCATGAGTTGTTTTCCACTCTTTCTTCTATATATACACTAACACAGTTCTGTTCTAACGACATTAAATTCCACAGAATTGGTTCTAAATTGAAGGCATGTTAAAATTTTATACCGTTTCCCTGTTGCAACTAAAATTATACTAAAGGTTATAGAACTACTGCATTGCTGAAAATGAAAAATAGAGCGAACACGAAATAAAAAAAAATACGAATAAATAAAATAAAACAACACTCCGACAAACCTTCAGGAAACTAAAAATTAGAAAGTTAATGAAATCAATTAAACTTAAAATCAAGAAACTAATTAAATCAATTATTAAACTCTGAGAATCGAGAAACTAATTAAATCAATTAAATTAAAATCAGGAAATAAATTTACAAGATTTGAAAAACTAAAAGAATTTGAATTGCTTGAATTTCCTTCTACTGTATATCACTGCGAGAAAATAATCTATTTAACTTTAAGGGAATCCTTTCATCTTAAGCGGATTTTCCTTTTAATATTTATTTAAAAGGATTTCCTTTTAGGACAAAAGGGAAGTCTTCTTTAAAGCACGTCTTTTAATAATTGTAAAAATTTAGTTTATTTCTTTTTGTCTCAAGTTTCGTTTTAATAGTAAACTAAATTTTTGCAATAAATTATTAATTTTTTATCAATTATATTAATAGTATTATATTATTATTTATTCATTTAAATTAATGACATTTATTGATATTTATTCATTTAAATTAATGACATTTATTGACATTTATGACATTTCATAAATGACATTTCATTAATTAATGACTCCCTTTATCAGAATTGACACAAAAATTTAATTTTGTTTTCGAAAACATCAATAACTTCTTTTTTAAATAAATATTTAACCATTATTAATTTTTCCATAGGAATTAAGATTTTCAAAAAATTTAAAACTCAAACCTTTTCAAAATTCAATTATTTCTAAAAATTCATCTTATGCTTCTAATATTCAATTGTTAGCTGAAATTCAACTGAAAGGTATTTTTAAATCAACTTTTATTATTATATATATTATTTAATTAATATCGAGTGCGAAGTCTTAAAAGGAAATCAGTTTCGATAATTTCTCTCGGTGAAAAATGCTTCGAAATTCGAATTTCGATTTATAATTAGGTAATTTAATATAGAATTGGGATTATATAAATGAAATTGAATGTATTAAAGCAACAATTGCAATTCAACCTCAATTTTCCCATGAGATCGTTGAGTCTCGAAATTCTGCTTACCGCGAACTAATCACATTGTAACCAAGGAACTATATACGGAAATGTAAACTTCATCAACTTTGTATAGAAGTTATAGATGTAAATCCTTTCAGATGTAAATTGTGTATATCAAGAAACTTGTAACATAAAGTAATTGTAACTTGTACACGCAACATTATTGAGGTATACCTAATATAATTTATTGCCCAAGTTTGCACTCTGCATTCCCTCCACATAGGTGTTAAGCATATCAACTCATCTCAACCGTAACTTAATTATTCCCAAATAGATTAACATATACTTTTCAGTGGCGTTTTTTACTAAAAAATCTTCAGAGCTGAATATTATTAAATTTTGACTTAGATTTAATATTACAAACCATATTGTCAATTGCTTTGAGAAGATTATTTCATAATAATAACACTAATCAAAGAGAAGACCTCTAATTGTTGTGCAAGTTTAAAAAGATATTTTTCATTACCTTCAACGTATTCGAACATCATTGTTCTTTTACAAAGGATTATAAAACGAAATTTAGAGTCATACAACATCAAAGAGCAATTAAGGTAAATGGAAGGGCTATTAAGAGCTGTTTTATACAAAGTGTAATTAGTACAAAGTAATAGTGTAGTAAACTCTTCGTGCACCAAAATTTTTATCAAACACAATGGACAGTAAAAAAAAAAAAATTTTAATTTACTTCCCTTTGAAATTCTTTTTTCGACGCTATTTTAAATATTTACTCGCTTAAGAAGTGTAATAGAACTGTAATGTAACTCTTGGAAATTAATTTTATACTGATGAACTGAAAAAAAGTGGTAACAAAAAGATTTAAAATTCATTTGAAGATAAAATATTTTTTTATTTATTAATATTTACTCACCTTTCGACTGGAAGGCACAGACGCATGTAATTTTCGACAGCAATTGCTGCCAGTGTCAATACTGTTACTAAAAAGCATAACGCTTCCAAGGTGAATTCGAAGCGACAAATGCCCAAAGATTCTTTATGTCCTGCCAAAATGACAATTGCAGACGCTGGTAAAACCAGACCTGTCACCATCAGATCCGCTAAGGCGACATTCACCAGAAATGCATTTCCTGCAAAAATTACATATATATATATATACATCTCTCGAATTTATCTTCTTTTTCACCCTTTGTGTCTAGCATTTTTCTTTTGTGGACTTACGTAATGTATATTTTCATTTCAATCCACAAGTAAAGAAAATCAACACTTCAAAAAAAAAAAAAAAAGGAGAAAGAAATAGATTTGAAAACTCTTTGAACGTATTTTCTATTTTTATTCTCGCAAAAACTGAAATAGAGAAACATTTTGTTAAACGAAAAGCAGTTTTAGAAAAATATTTCTAAATGCAGTTTAGAAATTTTATTTTTATCAAAAAAATTAATTAAAATTTAAATAAAAAATATAAAAAAAATTTTATATTTAAAAAGAAGAGAGACAAACAACAGTTTGTCAAATTTTTGTTGTTTAATTTCTAACACGGTTGCCATAGGTGAAGGAATTCAGGGAAAAGTCAGGGATTTTTAGTAAAAGTGCTGGAAAAAATTGAAGTTTTAAAATTCATAGGAAAATTTTGAATTTTGATGATTTTTTTTTTTGTTTGCCTCATAAACTATGAAATTACTACGAATTCTTATACAAAACCTTTAATTATTTCTATTTCTGACAATAATAATTTCTTTTTAAATAACTTAATTTTTCAAGAACTATATCATAAAACTATGTCTTATAAATTATTTAATGAATAATTTTTATTATTTTCATAAAAAATAAATACTAGATTTATAGAAGAATTTTAGTTAAAAATGCTGAAAAAATTGAATTTTGGAAAAGTTACAAATGATTCTAGTATTTTTATAAAATTTCGCAAAAGAATTCAATTATTTAAAAAAATTGATAAAATTCATCCAAAATTCAATTATTTTCATAAATAATAAACTTTTCACAGGAAAGAAAAATTTCGAAAAAATCAATTATTTAACAAAATTTTTATACAATTCTTCACAATAAATCAATTACTTTCACTAATACGAACATTTTTCATGGAAATTCAATATTTTTTTTATAAATTTCTAAGCAAGAATTCAATTATTTTCATAAATAATAAAACTCATCGAAGAAATTCAATTATTTTTAATATTATTTTAAATTAATTAATCGAAAAAATTAATTATTTTCCCAAATAAAGTTTCACGAGAATTCAAATATTTAAAATACAATTTTCATAATATTTAAATTATTATTTCGAAAAAATTAATTATTTAAAACAATGTTTATAAAATTCTTATAAAGAATTTAATTAATTTATAAAAAATTATAAAAACAAAATTTTTTACAGTAATTCAATTTTTTTTAAACATTTTAATAAAATTTTTCGCAATAATTCAATTATTTTCGTAAATAATAAAATTCTTCTCAGGAATTCAATAATTTTTGAAAATTTTAATAAAATTCTTTCTAACTATTCAATTATTTTTAGTACAATTTTACGGGAATTGCTCAAAAAATGTAATTTTTCTTAAAAATTTAATTTCAATTCCTCAAAAAAATCAATTATTTAAAAAAATGTTTACTATCATAAAAATATATGACTTATAAATTGTTTAATAAATAATTTTTATTATTTTCATAAAAAATACTAGATTTATAGAAGAATTTTAGTTAAAAATGCTGAAAAAATTGAATTTTGGAAAAGTTACAAATAATTCCAGAAATTCAATTATATTTTCAAAAGTTATAAAAATTCATCGCAAAAATTAAATTATATGTTCAAAAATTTAAAAACAAATTCTCGTCAAAATTTCAATTCTCTTTAATAATAATAAAAATTCTTCTTTGAAATTCAATTATTTTTAAAAATTTTAATTCTTGACAAAATTTCACAGGAATTCAATTATTTACAAAACTTTAAATAAATTTCTTCGAAATAATTATTTTAATAATTATTTTCATAAGTCATAAAATTTCCACAGAAATTCAGTTATTTAAAAATTAAAATACAAAATTTGATAAAATTTTTCGAAAAATATCAATTATTTAAAAACTTATTGCAGAATTTCAATTATTTTTAATACAAATTGAATTCCTCGAAAAATGTAATTAACTTTTTTTTGAAAAATTTTATTGTAATAATATTCTTATAAGTTGTTGAATTTCAAAAAGGTTTGAATTTGAATGTTTTGAAGAATTTTAATTCCTGTGGAAAAATAATAATGATTAAATATTTATTTAAAAAAGAAGTTATTTATGTTTTCGAATAATTTTACAATTTTTTTTTCAAATTTCTAAATAGATGCGATAGAACATGTTTTTAGTATCTAATAATTTTTAGAGTATATTTTCTAATTTTTTATTTTTAAAAATTTTTTTTTCTAATAAAGGTGAATTTATAAAAATTTTTTTTCTAATAAAGGTGAATTTCTAAAAAACTTTCTTCTAATGAAGGTGATTTTCTAATTTTCTTTCTTCTAATGGAGGTCATTGTCTAAAAATTTCTTTTTCTTATAAAGAGAATTTTCATTCTTATAAAGAGAATTTTCAAAAAAAAAATTTTTTTAAAATATTCAATTTTTGTAATGACGACCAATAGGTAGGTATATGATTAGAAAATTAAATTTACGAAAATTTTTTAATTCTTTAAAAATAAATACTTAAGATTTCGTTAAAAAATTATAATAAAAAATAGAAATTATGCAAATTTTTTAAGTAAATTTTAAAAAAAAGTTAAAAATGAAGTTAAAAATCGTAATTAAGAAATAGAAATTAAAGGGATTTTTTTCCTAAAGATATTTCAAATTTTCTGTAAAAGTGTTTTATAAATAAATTAATTTTGGAACTTTTAGTATAAAAATGATGCAAATTATTATTTTTTTCCAAGAAAAATATGATTTTGTTAATAAATTGTGATAAAAAATAGTAATTTTATTAAAAAATTTTTCTTTTTTTTTAAAAAGAAACTTATAATTTTATAAACAAAATTGTGATTGAGAAACAGAAAATATGCAAAATAATTTTTATTTCTTAATCTTAGTTTTTTTAAAAACAATTTTCTAACTTTTATCAAAATTATGGAAATTTTCAAATTTTAGGAAAATAAATATTAGAAATCATAACTTTTTAGAAAATTTCTTTTTAGAAATCAAAACTTGTTAGAAAAACTTTTTTTAGAAAACAGATTTCATTAGAAATCGCTTTTTTTAGACAAAAAGGATTAGAAAATATTTTTTAGAAGAAGTGACCACCTACCAATCAGTCAGGAAAAAGTCTGGAAATCAGGGAAAAGTCAGGGAAAAATAAAATTAAATATTTGTGCGGCAAAAACAAAATAACTTTTTCCTTCCGAATCATGAAACTTTATCTAAATTACTTTGTGAGGGGAACAATTTAAAATCATAAAAAGGAAGTGTAACTCTATTGTGTGTACCATTTAATTTGCATATCAACATTATATCACTGACTATCATCTCTTTAACATTGTAATCACCAATATTAAATTTGACCTTGGTAATCATTTAAAATTGACCTTTATACACTGTGATATTCGTTACGATGTAAACACTATAATTTTTATTGTATAATTGAATAAGGAAATGATTCTGGGAAAAAATTCTTTCTATATACAATGGAAAGGAAGATCACGGATACACCGGATTTCCCATCGCGGTTTTTATTCTTTTGAAAAGAGAAGAAAAAAAAAATTTTGCTTTATATTTTATTATATATCAAGTACATGAAATGTTCCCTCTCTCAAAAAATACGAAAAGTTCTCTCTCTCTCGAAAAAAAAAAAATTTGTTTTATAACAATGTTGATGGAATGAATTTAATATAATTAGGCGCAATCAAATTTTGATGAATTAATATGGAGATTTTGCTGTTATATAATTTTGATCTTTATAGCTATAAGGAGCGAGGAGTCATTAAAGTGATTTAGCAATTACTACTAATTTTTTAATAATACACTTCTGGAAAGCATAGAGTATCGAAGATCCTATCTTTTAATTTTCAGTTTCGCGAAAACGAATTAGAAAGCAGATTACTCAATTAACTTTAATTCCTGATATTTCACTTTTTTGAATCAAGGTAATTTTTCTTTTAAACGTAAAATATAATTTAATCTTTCAAATATTTTGAAATATTATTTAAAGACATTTTTAAATAAACAAATATTGAAAATAGAATCTGAAGTCCGCAACGTTTTTAAAAACGAAAAATCAAAAAAGAATTATCTTTCAAGTTAAATTCATCTCTAATTCTCGTTAATTAATTAATTTTTAACTTTTTAAGAAATTAATTGTTATTTAAGAGAAATTGTTAAAAAAATAACATGATTTAGAATTAAAAATAAAAAAAAACCGTCGCATTTATTTTTGTCTTTGTTTTTAAAAACGTTGTAGACTTCAGTCTCATAAAAATTATCAATATTGTAAAAAGTAAAAAGAAAATATTTTTTAAACAACTTAACTTTTAAACAACTTTTTTCCATTATATTCTACTTATAATATTTTCTCGTGTAGTAAATTTCTTTTTTAAAATTAAATCCGTGGTATCTATTTACGAGATTTATTTTCAATTTCTTCTCCTCTTTTCTTTTCTTTTTTTTTTTGCAAATTCTGTGAAAAAATTTATTTGATCATTCAATTCATGAAGGAGAGCACTTGTGCAGGGTAAAGTGAGAACAATTACGATACAAGATGAAAAGGAACTCTATCGTTGTTGTGTAAATGTATATGTATATATATAGGGGTAAATGTATTTGTAATGGAAAGGCTGACACCTTATCTTCTTTTACGAGAGAAGGGCAACTTTTATGTATATACATTGTCAGCCCTCTCTCCGTCTCTAGAGCAAAATTATAATAAAACCTGGATTTCTGGGGAAACTCAACCGGATATTATACACGACTAAGAAAAGTCCTATCGTTGTTTTTATCAAATCAAAAAAATTCCGGTTTAATTTTTTAACAGAAAGGAACTTTTTTTTTCTATTCTGTTAATAAAATTTTGCAATAATTGCAATGTAATTACATTTTTAATATTTTCATTTAGTAAATTATTTTCTTTATTGAGAATTAAAAGGGTATTCAATTGGGTTGATTAAAATTTTTGCTGATAAGCGAGAAAAAAAATTGAAATTCAAATTTTTCTGAAATTATAGTTAAATTTTTTGTTATATATTTAATTGATTATTAAAAATAATGGATTTATAGAAAAATTTTAGTTAAAAAACACTAGAAAAAAATTGAATTTTGATAAAGTTAGAAATAATTGCAGAAATTCAATTATTTTCAAAAGTAATAAAATTCTTCGCAGACATTCAATTATAAATTATTAAAAAATATTTCCTTGTCAAAATTTCAATTGTCTTTATAAATAATTAAATTTCTCTCTGAAATTCAATTATTTTTAAAAATTTTAGTAAAATTTTTGGCAAATTTTCAATTATCAAAAATTTTTCTGAATTAAATGATTTTAAATATTTTTACTATTTGAATAACATTTTCCAAAATAATTCAATTATTTGGAACAAAATTTAATGAAATTCTACGCGAACATGGAATTATTTTCATAAATAATAAAAATTTCAACAGAAATTCTACTATTTACCAAATTTTTACAAATTTCTTCGCAATAATTCAATTATTAATTATTATTAAATATTCAATTATTTTCTTGAAGAATATAATTCTTTTTAGGAATTCAATTATTTTCGTAAAGACAATAAAATTCTTTTTAGAAATTCAATTAAACTCATCGCTGAATTTCAATTATTTTTAATGCAATTTTAAAATCGTATTTCTCGAAAAATATAATTATTTTTAAAAGTTTTATTAAAATTCGTTGTAGGAAAGCAATTATTTAGTTCATAATATTCTTTATGAGAGTTCAATTAATTCAAGAAACATTCAATTATTCAATACATTTTTTTTGTATTTAAATAAATGAATTCTCGTAGAGTTTTCTAATAAAATTGATTTATAAATGAATTTTCATGAATTTCAGTGAATATTTTAGATAATAATTGAATATTAAAAGCGCAGCATTATTGCGTGAATTTTTAGAAATAATTATTTTTTTTCAAAAAGATATTATTTCTTAAAACAAAAATTTAAATATCAATTTATTTGTACTGGAAAAATTAATTCCAAGATTAAAAAATTAAAGACCGGAAAAAATATACCAAAATTAAAAATTTTTAATATTAAAAATCCATTTATATTATATTTTTATTTTTATTTATATTTTTATTTTTATTTTTATTTCTATTTTAATTTTTAATTAATTTTTAAAATGTAAAATTTTGTATCAAATAATTAGTATCTGAAATAATGCGCTTTATTTCGAATCACTTTTATTAATGAGGAAAATCGTAAATTATGAGATGCCCTATTTGTATATGAATATAATAAGGAAGTTGTGCATTCAATTGTAGAGTTGAGAGTAAAATTTGCAATTTCTAGGAATTATATATATGAAAATATAGTTTGAGCGAGACATTTAAGACCTTTTGCTTGCGCATAAAGTTTACTGATGTAATAATATAATTCAAAAGATTCCACTTAAACACTCTTGTGAGATTATATTTCAGATGTTCAATATTTACCTTCTTTTTATTAGCCATTTCGTAATTTCCGTTACTTTTTAGCAAAAAAAAAAAAAAATCTATGAAACCATAAAAATTATACGCGAAAATTTTATTAAATTTTTTTTTTACGATATTTGTTAATTTCTTTTATATTACACGTATATTTATTTGACACTTAGGTGTTTTTTTTTTAATAAGGAAACGAATTTTTCTTTAGTTGTTGTTTTTTTATTACAAAATAATTAAACGGTTTATTTATTTTTTATTATATATTGTTATTTATTTATTTATTTATTTAATAAAAACAGAGTTATTATTTTAAAATGTCTTTCGAATCGAGAGAAAAAGAGTTCTTTTTATCTATTTTTGTTCGAAACTGAGATTTTTTTTTTTTGTTATGTACATGGGAATGTACATGGACTTTTTTCTTTAATTAGTCTCATGGGATTTTGCGTGTAATACTGACCTATTTTTCTCAAATGGTCCTCGACCATCACTGCGGAAATCATAAAAACATTTCCAACACTTCCAACAACGGCTAAAGATGCGAGAAGTAAGAGACGAGCTACACGGGACCAGTCTTCTGATAAGGTCACAGGTGATACATCAGGATCGTTGTTGAAGAGACTCGCCTTGTCCAATGACATTCCTGAATTCACTTTGATCATTTCTTGTAAGCTGCTTGTCACGTCAAAAATTGACGACACTGTCGTTGAACGATTCATTGTGAATTATCTGAAATTAAAAATTTAAATTACATAAATAACTGTTTACACTGGAAGACTGAATTTTAATTTAGGTCTAAATTTAAAACTAACACTAAATTTAAATTTAGTTCTAAATTTAAATCTGGTTCTTAATTTAAAACTAGTTGTAAATTTAATTTTAGTTCTGAATTTAAACTAATTTCCAAATTTAAATCTAGTTCTAAATTTAAATTCGGTTCTAAATTTAAATCCAGTTCTAAATTTAAATTCTGTTCTAAATTTAAATCTAGTTCTAAATTTAAATTCTGTTCTAAATTTAAATCTAGTTATAAATTTAAATTCAGTTCTAAATTTAAATCTAGTTCTAAATTTAAATTCAGTTCTAAATTTAAATCTAGTTCTAAATTTAAATTCAGTTTTAAATTTAGAACTAGATTTTAATTTAGAACCAGATTTTTATTTAGAACCAGATTTAAATTTAGAACCAGATTTAAATGTAGATCTGAATGTAAATTTAGAACTAGATTTAAATTTAAAATTGAATTTAAATCTAGTTCTAAATTTAAATCTGGTTCTAAATTAAAATCTAGTTCTAAATACAAAAACTCTTTTTTTTTTGTAAAAGACAAAAAGAAAATAATTTTTCGCCTTTCTTAAAGAAGAAATAAAACATTTGAGAGACGAGAAGAAAATATTTTTTTTTTTGCCTTTCGTAATAAGAAAAAAAGAAAACTTTTTTTTTCTACATGAAAACCAAAAAAGAAAATATTCTTATATCTTTTATAAAGGAAAAAAGTTTTTGTCCTCTTTCCTCCAATGCGAGTATTTCTTTTGAAAAAAGTGTCTTAAAGAAGACACGAAAACAAACTGTTGGATAATCTGACATTATTTTCTCCTCGTGTTATTTTAAGTAGAATGCACACACACTCTTTGAGAAAATGCATATTCCAGCAGTAAGCATATGTACGCTTAGTCGAGTACAAATTTCCAGTCAATTAAACATGTCAATTCCCTTTTTTAAAAAACTTGTCCTTTTATTCTTTATTCTTTTCTGTCTTCTTTCTTTTATTATATTATATATACATATTACGTTACGTAACCAGACTATCGTATTCTATAACTTTATTAAAATTTTGGAAGCAATTTCGAGTTTCGGGTTCGAGAGAATAGTTTCAAAGTTTAAAGCAAGTTTTGATGGGTCCAAAAATGGGTATAAAGGTTTAATAGGCAACTGTATTCCCAAATAGAATTTTTAATATTGTTCGGAAAATTAATTAAATAATTTATTAATTGCAGGCTTCGTACTCATCTACTAAATTTACTGTTTACCTTTTTTTAAGTTTCAATTATTTACAAATAGTAATTTGGACTCCTTTTTCAGATTTGTGACACTAAAGGCTACTTTTTAGTTTTTTTCTGACAATTTACATTTGTTTAAATCAGCTAGTAATTGAATTAAAGAAATTATTCTCATAAATTTAATTAGAATTCTTAGAAACAATTAAAAAAATTTTAACAAAATTCTTTGAAACGCTGAAATTAAATAATTATTTTCAAAAATTTTAAGAAAATGTTGACAAGAATTCAATTATTTTTCCTAATAACGAAAATCTTAGCCAAAATTCAATTATTTTTATTATCTACTATTTTAATAAAATTTCACGAAAGAATTTAATTATTAAAAAAAAAATTTTATAAACTTCTTTGCAAAAACTTCAATTATTTTCATAAATAATAACATTCTCACTGATGTCCATTTATTTAAAATACAATTTTCATAAAATTTTTTGAAATTTTTATTTCAATTTCTCGAAGAATGCAATTATTCTTAAAATTTTGTTTAAATTCTTTAAAAGCATTAAATTATTTTTAAAATTTTTTAAAATTTTGATAAAATGCTTTATAAAAATTAAATTTTAAGAAATAAGGAACTATTCGATTAATTATTTATTTTTGCATTTAAATAATTGAATTCTCGTCGAACTTTCTAACACGAATTGTTTTAAATATTAATTTCATATAAAATTGTTGATAAAAATTTAATATTATTATTCAAAATTTATTTTATAAATTCAATTATTTCCATAAATATTAAAATTTTTTTCAGGAATTAAATTATTTTTCATAAATAATAAAACTCATCGCATGATCCCAATTATTTTTAATACAATTTTAATTAAATGCCTCGAAAATGTAATTATTCTTAAAAATTGTATTGAAATTCGTCGAAAGAATTTAATTATTTAAAAATTTGTTGATAAAATTCTTTACAAGATTTCAGTTTTAAGAAACTTTTAATTATTCAAAAAATTATTTATTTTCGTATTTTAATAATTGAGTTCTCATAGAATTTCTTAACAAAAAAGGTTTGAAATTTGAATCTTTGAATTTAATAATTATTTTATACAAATTCTTTGAAAGAATTCAATTAATTTTTCAATTTTGATAAAATACGTTATAAAAAATCATTTTTAAAAAATAATCAATTTATTATTGAATCAATTATTTAATTTTGTATTTTAATAATTAAATTCTAAGAAGAATTGATTTAAAAATGAATTTGAGACAAAATTGTAAATAACAATTGAGTATTAGAAGCATTATAATATGTAGGGGAACATAGTCTAGGTCGGCCACCTTTTTGACTTTTGTTTATAACTTTTTTTTAAAAATGAATTTGGACAATTGAAGTATATGGTTGGAAAGTCCTGTTTAATAGGAACATTTTTTCTGTACAAAGTAAATTGACAGGTTTAAAAATGAAAAAGTTATAAAGATTTAAAAAAAAAAAAATTTGTAGTCCAGGTTGGCCATTACAGTCAAGGTCGGCCATGTTTAAAATTCAAAGGGCATTAATCGTTAAAAAATAAAATAACATGTTTGGAGTTACGGAAAATTGATTCTTTATTGTTTACAGTTTGTAACTTAATGAAATAACAAAATAATAACAATAAACAATATAAAAAAATAAATATAAATAAAAAAAAGTTTTGCACTAAAATATTAATAAAATTAAATAAAAATATTAATAAGATGATCAATTATATTATGAGTTATACAGAATTGCAGTTTTTGCAAATGAAGTAGCTCGTCCTCAACTTTGCGCATTTTAAACACATAGTGGCCGACCTTGACAGTAAGTAACATTACCGAATTGTTGTAACCATAAAGAAATACGTTTCGGGATTCGATTTTTTACTTTGTTTTCCTTTCAACCATGAGTCCCACAAATTTTCTGCATACTTGCCTTGACGATTCAATTTGTTTTTTATCTTTTATTAATGGTTTTTCACATTATGCACAAAACTTTTTTTGAGCTTTTTTTGTACCGACGTCACAGAAAACACAATTTTCGATTTTCCGAAAATGTAATTGAACAAAAAGTTAGGTTTCACTAAGACAAGCTTCGACAAAAATGCGCGTAGGTGGCGCTAGTGAACTTGAAAAAAAAACGCGAGTGGCCTACCTAGACAGTAGGCCAACCTTGACTACATTCCCCTATTTTTATTGGAATAATTAAATTTCAAAGGGTTTTTAAATTTCCTGCGCATTTGAAAATTTTACTTGTTGTAAAACTGTAATAATATTTCAATATTATCATAAGAAAGTAATTATTTATTATTTTCCAAAATAATTATTAAAGTTTTGAATTATTTTATTTAAAAATTCCCAAAAAATAATTGACTTTTGTGAATGGACTGAAACCATTTTTTTTTAAGACTAAAAAGACTTTTTTAAAAGTAATTATCGAGTGCTATGCCTGTAATTGAATAATTGACTAATTACATAATTGATTTATTAAATAATAGATTAATTAAATAATCGAATAATTAAATAATTTACTAATTAAATATTCGACTAATTAAATAATTCATTAATCAAATAAATCAACTAATTGAATAATTGAATAATCAAATATTCGACTAGTAAAATAATTGACTAATCAAATTACTAATTAAATAATAATTTTATGTAATCAATTGTTTTATTTTTAATTTAATTAATTTCAATGATTCTTAAATTATCGAAAAATATTAATTAAATGAAAAAAAACAATTGATCAAATGAATAAAAATTGAAAATACAATTTGAAAATAAATGTACATTTTTTTTTTATAAGCTGCGTTTAACGAAAATTGCACTTGTTGCTTGAAGTTTATAGCGAGAGAATGCCGATACAGAAAACTATATTCTATCGATTTTCAGTCATCGATTTGAAAATATGCCAAACCACTCCATTCAGTCGTTGACTTGAAAACGTGCCAAACTTATAGAGCCATTCAACCAGGGATCACGTTGAACCTCTTCCTTTGAAACTCAAGACAAGTTAAGACGAGAAAAGCGCGAAAAACTGTTACCTACTTTTTAACAAAGTATAATAGTCTCTCTGATGACGATATAGATTTATGGAAAAAAATATCCTTGTTGCTTTTTTTTTCAAAGTAAAAAAAAGCGAAGTCTGTTTTTCTCTCTCCTTGTATGAAAAAAGCAAGTTTTTTTTACATTTTTCTAACTTTTTCGTTTGCCAAATAGGCAAAATAAAATTCCCCCCCTCCATTTTATGGAAGGGAAGAAAAAATTATATGGGAGGGGGGGAGAGAATTATAGTAGGGGGAGAATATTATTTATGGTATTGTGGAGGGGATAAATGTAGAAGCATAAAATTTAAATTAAACAAAAAGTGAAAATATTTTGTTGCACTGAATTAAATGAAGCGAAAGAAATATTAAATATAGCAGTGGAGTATTTTTTACTTAGGATCTGAATTGCAAATTTTTTTTTCTTGTGTTCGCAATTTTACTGTCTGTATATTGTAGAGTTTGCTTATAATTCACTATCTTTCTGGCATTCTGTCAACAAACTTTAGACTTGAGAGAGAGAGTTGAATGAAAAAATCAAACGTATGTAAGTGCTTCTTTAGACATTCACAAGTTGACTTACAACATCCTTTTTCTCACCACTAGCTTCTCAATAGTAGAATATAAGGTAACGTAAATCAATTCCTCTTAGAAACTTGCGCTGAAAAGC